TCCTACATATGCAAGTGAAGCGTTAAAACGTGAAACGGAAAATTTGTCTGGAATAGAAAGAAATCACGAAAATGAAATGCCGTTAATAGAAGTAAAAGGAGAAGATGATACACAGTTTGAAAATAACTTATATTCTAAAGGACAGGATTCTCTACAATCAGGTCAAAGAAGTGCTAAACTAGAGATTGCAGAAAGAGAAGAAGTAAAACCACGGTCACAACGTGTTGTAGGAACATCTGATAGTTTCGAGAGGGTTCGAGATGGAGTGTCTTAAAAAACATTTCATCCTAATACTAGTTTGCATGAACATATATATGCTTCAAAACAACCTTCATTTTCTTCAGGTCATTTCGAATATTCTGACACACAAATTTTCCAAAAAGGAACTTCATCACATTTAAGTCCTGTAGTGGGATCTCAAGTAGTTGACACCAAGGGAAAAAATATAGTAAATACACAACATATTCAAAGTGATATACCTGCAAAACATAGTGTAAATGATGATTCTTGTGATACGCAAAATATTTATGGCAAAAATATAGAAGTTCAAGAACATAAAACTAAATTTACTCTTCCTTAGGTTTCTGGTGCTGACAACTATAATCTTGTGATTCATGGAAACGATGATTCTGATGGTAAAGATAGTGCTGATAAATTTCCTACTGACATACCTAATGAACATAAAGGTGTTCATTATGGCACTGATATTTTTGTAATCCCTAATGGCAAGCTTTCTTTTGATGATACTTCTGTTAATAAAGAAGCTGATGCCATAAGTATATATACTACGCAATCTGATTCACAAGAAAGCACTAAAAAAGTTACTGTTGAAAATTCATTTTATTTTAAAATAGGTGAATTTCTAGAAGGCAATGAAAAAATTCATACGCGGGGGAATTCTATTTATAACCATTCTAAACCTGGAAACAAGGGTAATAAAGAAAGAAAACATAGAGAAAGAGTTATCCCCCTTCTTATATATGCACATATTGTATCAACTTCATCTTCAAATAAATTACATTATCACCAGAAAATGATATCCCACGGAGAATATACATCTGCATAATAAAATTTACATATATTTTTCATTTATTCTTAAATTAATACGTAAAATCATAATATAATTTCTAATAAATATAATAGTGTGAACTATTCTAAAATATATACATCAGGAGGTCCAACTTTTATAAATTTGTCTCCGGATGCAGATGATAAAAAGATGACTGTAGATAATAATTCCAACGGACCGTATGATGAAAATCAAGGATTGACATATAATAAATATATAATAATAGCTTTGGTTCCATTGGCAATTATTCTTTTATTATCTCTTCTTATAAAAGTTAGCTAAAATTTATTGCATTAAAAGAATAACTCCATTTTTAATTATTTAAAACACTTAATTCGTAATAATATATATATTACTTCTATTTATAGTATGCTCCTCTGATGACGTTTTCTAAGAAGAAAAAAAGGAAAAATAGAAAACCAATGAGCGAAAGATTACAGAAAATACTATTTGGTCCTTCATTCAAAAGAGAAAGGAAAAATGTTCCTTTTTCGTATAGCCCTTTTGAATATTAAACATAATGATGTGTATGAATATTAAAGTGCTTATCATGGATGTGCTTAAATAATCATTGAATGAGATAAAAACTAATATTTTATTTAGTAATTTATTTTTAATTATTTTTACTTTGTTAAATTAACGTAGAATTGTTACCAAGACATTGTTAAATATTTATAATTATAAAAGAGTTATAAGAGAACTTGGATTGCACTATTGCAATAGTAATACAAAAATATATGATATTGTATTTGTTTCTAATTTTATATGTGTTATGATTTTTTTGAAAATTTCTTTAACCATTTATATAAGAAAATGCACTTGAACTAATGCATACTTAAGTATGAAAATAAAGTATAATTTTTATGAACTTGATGATATTTAATTATTTTTTTAGTCAAAAATGATAGCAAAATAAATATTTTTTTTCTTATTTGAAATATAATTTTTATTTTATTTCACAAGTTGAAAACAAATATTCCATAAAAGCATATCATCATTTATTTTAAAATAACTTGTACTTTATAGCCTTATACGACAATTTCTATGGCTTTAGTCTTTGCGAAAAAACAGGATATAAAACATATAATGAATATAAATACGATCTTAAATGAAAATTTTCTCTTATAATATAAATCATGCGTCTCAGAGTAATATTCGCTTAATAATTTATATAAAAAGTTTTTTACCATTTTCAAATTAATAATCATTAAGTATGGAGTACATATACCTAACTATGCTAATAAAAAATTTTCTGAATATATGAACTATTAGATAAATCATAATTTATACTTACATGTGAAATTTGAAAATATAATATTACAGTGGTAACAATCATTGAATAGTTCTTACTAGATATATTTTATAGTTGCACATTATATATGTGCTCCATTTTACAATTCATCTCTGTGGCATTATTAATTATTGTAGGAAAGAATATATTTTGCACTATATATATACATAAGAGAAGTACATTAAAATAAATGAAGCATAAATGTATATAGAACTATTTATATTATATATTTACTCATTTATACTAATTATTTATAATGCGTACATGTTATTTGAAGGAATAATACGGAATTATATATTTTTCCATATTTCTGATTTTAATTTATTTCCAATTAGAAATATTTTGATTTATAATGTACACATTAAATCATTCATTAATTGATTATAACTAACGAATGATTAATGAATTAATGTTACATTTATGTACACGTATACACAAAATAAATACTTAATATATACTAATATAGTTTATTGATCATTCACACGACCAATTAACCCATTATTTGGTTTTTTATCCTTTACTGTTGTTGAATGCATAAGTGTTCCTATAGTAGCTAATAATTTATACCTTATTAATTTGACATGAAGTAAAATTTAACTCATATAAAAGAATTAAATACTTTTATGTAATTTAAATTTCAAATAATGACTTAAACAAAATATTAATTGCAATGTTATTATATTATATTGTATTATTAGTAAGTTATATACATAAAAGGACAACATCAAATCCCAATTCTACCAGAACATCGAGATATATAAATTATATATTTATAAATATATTTTGTATTTTATATATTCACATATAACATACTAATTCATAGGTAAAATACAAATTAACATAGTTAATGTGAAATTATGTGAAAATTGAAAAAAATCTTAGATTAAGCAATAAATATATTTCACTATATATGAAAAATTCAAAATGTGACATTAATACAATTTGAGCTTTTAATATAAGTGTTACATTACATATAAATACATGGTAACAAAATAACCTTTAATATTTATATAAAATGAACAAAATTAAGATCTATTGATGTTCTCCAGGCAAAAAAATTTATTTTATTTTATTACTAATTCTATTAACGAAGGAGCTTTTTGCATTATATCGCTACATTGATCATAGAAAATATATATATATATATTAAATATCTAATTTTTATAAAAAAAAATGAAATGTTTTTTTTTCTACAGTATAAAGTCGAAATATATTTATATTACATGTTTATTGTATAGCACACTTTAATATGGGATTTTCTATATTTTTATCAAGATGTATTTGGGGGCGATGTAATATTTTTTTTATCAGTAGTATACTAATTTACAAGATTTTAACTATATTATAATAATTATTTATTACTATTATATATAATAATCATGCACTTAATAAATTCATAAAAACAGTTGTTAATATAAATAAGTGATATATATTAAGTTCCGTATGAAAAGAAAGCATCAAAATAATAAACATAAGCAATATATAACTATTTCTATTTTTATCAAAAATTTTATAACTGTTAAAAACGAACATCTAAATATGTTAAAATAATATACTCAATGTTTTAATATAATACCAATATAATTTATTATGTATTAGTAATATTACAATATAAGTTATTTGTTACATAAATATTAAGATAAAATTATGTATATTATATACACTTGTTATCTTGTAAATGACACAGTCTGAATTCATTTCAGAAAATTTATTATTATAAAAATATACTAATATATAGTATTTATATAATTTATATATATGTATATTTGTTTACCATATTTATTAAAATTTCTATAGATCTCAAGTCATAATATATAAAATTGTATAGCAGTAATAGATATAGGCATCATATATTAATATAAATGATATTTATTACCATAATTCATATTAATGATATTTATATTTTTTATTCAGAGTGTGCAAATAAATTTGGTGTGAATGATAATACAAAATTACATTAATATTTCACATATTTTACCTTCTGTTATACATAATGCTATATCAATGGAGTCACAGATTATAACTATTATTTATATAAACATTAGAATTAATATCATATATTTAATATATATCGTTTCAATTTTATTGAGTGTTATTCTAAAATATAATAATTTTTATATGGAATTATATCAATAACAATACATATTAACAATAGAAATATATATTTCTTTTATGTATAATACATTTAAGTTTGTCACTTTTTAATTAATAAAATTATTAATATAATAAAATTATTAATATACATGTTTTATCTAAAATAAGGCCTATTGTTTATTGCAGTGTTGAAAAAACAATGAATTATGCTTCCACTGGTATTATATCACCCATTATATAATTATAAAACATTGCAACATAGAAAAATTTCAAGGCTTATGTTATTACTCAGAATATATGTATATTTATTTTATCAATATAATTAAATTATTCATTTAACCTGCTATAGTATATAAACTTAACAAAAATGGGAAAATCATTTGTAGATTTAATTATTATAACTTTTCAATGCCATTATATTTTTTATGTCATATTCTCTATATGTTATAAATTATTGTTCCCTATTGTGTAATTCTTACCATGATAATAATTTACTTTTCTTTTTAGTATACTCTTGTATCTTGATTTCCTATATTTAGTAATATTATGGATAAATTTAAAAATATGTCTCCATCATGTGTATGGAAAAGAAGCTTGTTCTGAAGGAAAAAATGGAATTTCAATAAATAACAAAACGTGTTACCAGACGTTTTTGTTTTTATCTGAGTTACAATCGATGAATCATGAAACGTTAATAGAAGCGGGCTGCAATTATTTGTATTATTCGTTAGAGAATAATGGTGGGGGAACATATTATAATCAGGAAAATACAAACCTTTTTTATAAATTTCTCACAGTATATGGTGAGTCTTTGTTAAAAATACCACATAAATGCAAGTCACGTAATGTATTTATTACAATGAGCGATTCTATAATTCTGAAACTCATAGATGATATGTATACAGAATATAATAGTTTAAATTGGAGAAAAATGGGCGAAGTGGGTGAAAATATATTAATGAATTTTTATAGTAAAGCAGATTTTTTTATAAGTCAGTATAACGAACATATTGAAACTAATGAGATGGCAAGTAGTGAAATTAGAGGTATCCCTGTATCTGAAAAAGAAAACTCTTGCAAAACTAATATATTATTTCCCATAGTAGTTACATTTGTAGTGACGACATTGTCATCTATATTGTTATTTATTTTTTTTAAGGTTAGTTATCTTTACATTTACATATGTATGTTCTATAAAGAAATATTTCAAATAATTGAAAACAAAAAATTCTCATAATAAAAGAACTTATATTATTTATTATATAAATATATTTTTACAATGAAATAGTTTACAGCATTTGGTCCTTCTCTAATCTATAAAATATTCATGAAAAGAAATTACTGGTGTGATATAGATGAAAAAAGAAAATAATTCCAACATTCTGTAATATCTGAATGTACATCAAGTAACACAAGATATAATGTATTATATAATTGTGATTAATTATACTGTAGAATATGAAAAGAATATTACATTTAAACAAAAAAAAATATATATTTGCATCCAATATCATAGATAAGATTTTTTTAATTTTGTTTACTATGAAATGATGTAATACATGCAATAAATAAAACAACGGTAAATATTGCCTTGTCCATTCAGTATAACATTCTTTATAAGCAAATAATCTAACAATTCTGAATACATAATTCAGTAATATCATAATTAACACATGTATTATTAATAAAGTTTTAAGTTGACTTGTTATAGTACGCACTATTTTTCAGGAATATGCTTTTTGCATTTTTTAAACTGTAGCTTAAAAATAAAATATTAATATACAAATAAAATATATTTAAAACTGCATGTGTAAATAAAAAATCAAGGCAAAAATTGAATGTAATTGAAGGAAATTATTTTCATCTAAAATATATTATTTTATTATATTATATAATATAAAAGTGTATTTATAATTCAGAATTGCGCATATTAATAATTAACCCTGAAATATAATCAATACTACATTAAATTTTCATTGCGTTATAATGTGTTACATACGAATATATATATATATATATATTTATATGATGTATATGAATTCACCTTGTTATGTCTGCTCAATTAATATTTTATTTCTTTAGAGTCAGATATTCCTATATACACAGTTAAATAAAATATAAAAAAATTAAATTCTATATTTCTCATGATATTGCCGTAATATATTTATAAGGAAATTAGAATTGTTTAAAAAAATATATCAAGAGTTATTAAATTATTAGAATATATATTTAGTAATCATAATTGTAAAAATATTCATATATATTTTTAATTTACATGTTTAGCATTATAAGTACATAATCATGAATAAAAAAAAATAAATTTGTCATTATGACGGATAAAAATATTTAAATTAAAAATGTATACATTTTTTATCTCACTACATTATGTGCCTATTACGTAAGAATTCACGTATCATAAAATTCCGCATGAAATTATGTTTGTTAGTATAATATATAATTTCAACAAATGTATTATATATATATTTTAAATAAGAGAGATATGGAAAAGTTCTATAAAACTTCTTTATCTTATGTATATTTTATTCCAATTTTTTATACACTTTTTGTTTACATTATTAACTATATCTGTATGCATTCATTTTTTTAGATTATATTACTTTGAATGCTCTTTATCTTATGCTAATTAATATATTGCTAAATGCAATATATATGTTTGAAAAAGTAATGTTAACAAACTACAATATTTTGTAAAATGAATTTTAAGTTAATTTAACCATGTAACTAACAATATGAGATACATTCATGTTATAGAATATACGAATATGACTCATTTATATATAATTGGTTATGTATTATTAAGTATAGCCGCAGTTCCCTTTAAGAATTTATAATTAGTGTTAAATTTTTTGTAATTATCTTGTAAATGAAAATATTATTTAAATAAATTATAAGATGCACGCAAATTTTTAATCTCTATTTTGCTTACATTATATTTTATAAGAAATGTAACACGAAATATTATGATTAATGAAGACATCAATTAATGTTATTTGACATTATATTAGTAAAGCATAAAATGTGTAATTTATAGTATGTGTAACATAGCTTATATATATTATATTAAAATTCAATTGAAGGAATTGCACTTCCAAAAGACATTACTATTAATACGTTCAAGTAAATGATACCATAATTTAATGTGACTTAATGTCGATAATATATATACTACGTATTTACATAGATCATACTGACATTGTCTTTTAAGAAAAATTGAGGGAAAAAATTGTAGTAAAACATCACTAATATAATATTAGTTATATTATAAGTATAAAATCGAATGAAAATATTTATGTCTTTGTGTTTAATTTATTATTCATTGATATAATAATTATAGATATTATTTTGTTTAAGATATATATAATTAATATAACATAGAGAACATAATATAAAATTAATATAATCCACAAAATAAAATAGATTTATATTAACGTCCACATAAACTAATCTATTCATGCATACATTAATATTAAAAATATAATATAATACATAACAGTTTGGAACTGACGTTTTTGCGGATAAGATGTAGTCGTTATATTAAACTTTTATATTGTAAAATATAATAGTAAAAAATTAGGAATAAGATGTTTGCACATTCTATTGTAAAACATTTAATGATGAATATTACGTTATATTAATACAATATTGGAAATAATTTAGTTTAAAATTTTCAATAATGTACATATATTATAAAAAAAAAATATATATGTAGGCAAATAGTAGTGTAAATATGTAAGAATAAAAATGTGTAATAAATATATATATTCATAGTACCATCACATTAAATGGTAAAAAATGTTACGTTGTTAATACATACTCCAAGTTATATTAGTAAGTAATACATATAAATTATTGTAATTCAATGTAATTAAATAAAATTGAATCAGTAATATTATATTAAACCTATACTCTTAACCTAAACTCAGAACTATATATTTTTATGAGATCCCTTATATGTAAGATACTGTTTAAATAATTCTTATTATCACTCCATAATTGCCCAGATAATTTTTATTGAATCCAGGATTTACCCAGAATATTAACATTTATTTTGATGTATATTTATACTATAATATTTTCAAGTTGTAAGATGTCTGTTTGAAACAAAGTCTTACAATAAACATAATAAGCGATGCTATAAGCATTTTCTAAAATTTTATATATATGTAGAAAATGAATAAATATATAACTTCCGATAAATAAGCTCATTTTAAAAATTATATTCAAATCTTCTAGTGGTTATATAAATTAAGTATATAATTATTATAATTCTTTTTTCTTCATGAATATAATATTATAATTATATTATTATTATGGTTAAATGTACTTAATGATATTATTTTACGAATATGATTTATTTTTTTTGAACATAATTTGAAACATACTTGCTTCATTTATATATATTAATATATTTTAAATATAAATTTCATTATAAATAAAAATATGCATAATTTTCTCTTCCCACCCTTTGTTTTATTTAATTGTAACTGTTTATATTATATATTAGTTTAATTAGAAAAAATGTTGACCCATTAAATATTATTTCTTTCATCATGTGTACATGTTTTTCAAGAGCAAACTGTGAAAAATGACCATTATTTTTAACCATTTTTCTCGATATTTTTGTTACTTAATATTAATTAAATAGTATACAATTGTGTATTTCTGTAAATAACATATATATATTTTTTTTTTATTTAAGATAGAATTTCGTTTCTTCTTTTGATTAGGTGTATTAAAAAGTTGTCTCATTATGTAAATGTCACTTTTAAAACTTTTCTTTTATAATAAATATTAAAGTCTTACTTTTAGATATTTAAATATAATATGAAATGATTATCAAAGAATATTTGTAGATTATTTATTTAATTTGTTTCTTGGTGTTAACTACAATTACTCTATGTTACCTGTTTACATCTTGGAATTCATATTTCACTCATTCCTTTAAATTATAAAGACATTAATAATTCTATATTTAATTTTATCTTTATCTTGACATATTCATGGTTAAAAAAATTGCTCTTAAGTATAAAAGAGTAATTCATTAATGTTATTATATTACTTATAAAAAAATAATTCGAATTTATTAATTTTTATTAAAAATTTATAATGAATCATCCATATAACTATACTCAATGTGGTAGCAATTATCATTTGGATTATTGTATGCCAATTTATATGAATCCATGTTATTGATATTTTCTTTATTTCTTTTTTTAATCTTTCTTTTTATTTTTCTCATCCTTGGATTAAAATATGAACCAAAAGTGGTGTACTGATAATAAAGGAACAATATAATATTTTTATGATGGTGTCTTTCATTTGATGTGAATATTTCTTAATGTATTCTAGAAACATTAAAGTTATTTATATATTATTAAAAAAAATTTTATATATAACCTTATACAGAATAAATAGAATTATTAACACTGAAAAAAATAAAACAATCATTCCAGAACTTAGTGTTGTTTCTGTGCCTGTATGTGGGCTGAGTCTCGCTTTGTCTAAAGTTTTTTTCCTTTCACTTATCATTTTTAGCATGTTTTCACCTGTTCCTTCCATTTCATTTATTCCTGACACTTCGATTTTACTTATTTTATCTCTTATTACATTCACTGTCATTGGTTCTGTACTTATGACTCTGCTCCTATCTTGTTCTGGTAATGGTGGTAAGGTTTGGGGGGTACTTTTGCAAACGTTCAATTTTTGCATATATTTTTCATAATGATATATAAATTCATATAATAAGTCGTGAAAATCCATATTCTGCTCACTTGAAATTGTTCGTAAGAGTTTCTTATATTCTGTAGAGCAATATTCAGCATGACTACAGCTATGATTGCTGTTTTTAAAAAGATAAAATCTGTTATATAATTCATCAAGTTTTTTGAAATTTTCATATGTTTCATGGCTAAGATCTACAAAGTAGTCCTTACATATTTTAGGTATTATTGTATTAAAGCGATATTTGTACGCTTTCATCATGTAGTCGTAGGCAACTGTGGGGGATTTTATCGTACAATTATATTTTTTTAATAATTCATGCATCTTATAACCGAAGTATATACAAAAATATATTTTATTATGGTGGTTCCTATTTAATAATAATTTCATATTATCTAAAAGGATAGAAAGTCTTCTACAATCTACAGTAAAGTGAGAGCCATGTGATAATCTACATATATCATATTTTGCATAACTACACAATTCAGTAAAATGATGATGCTTAGGCTCATTCCAATTTCTTCTTATGATCCAATTATAATTTTCATTAGACTTCATATATACATCATCAAAATCAACCTAATAATTGAAGTCATAATGTACAAAAATATTTTATATAGTAATATCTATAAATTCTTTTTCTTATATTCATGAAAAAACGATATTTTTAGGTTAATTAATATATATTACATAATTATAAACAAAAATAAATACACCTTTAAAATATCATCCTGTGTAGGAATCGTCATTTTATATATGAATGAAATAAAAGAAAAAAAAATTTATTTCATATTCTTATAAATATATAACTTTTAAAAATATAACAATGAATAATACATTTATACAATGTTTATTAATTTTTATATTCAATATCTTCTATAGACAATTTATATACATATATTTAATAAAATACATCATATTTATTAAAGTATGTAGTAATATGATATTAAATTAAGAACATCATTTAATAACGTATATATATAATACAAAAAATATATTTACAATTTTAGAAATATGTAATAATATTTAAGACTTATAACTTATTCAATAAAGTTATATATGTAAAATTATAATAATAACATCCTTAATTCCTTAGAGACATATAAAATGACTTATAATATAATAAATAATATTTCCTAGTGCATAATTATATCATGAAATTATTCAAAATTATTAAATATGAATATCATAATAAGAGTTGTATATTTTCTATTAGGTATTCCTTTATGTATAATGTTAAATGTTCATTTTATAGATATATGTAGTTTTGTCTTGTTATAGAAGAATTGATGGTTACCTAATTACATTATTTATTAAAATTCACACTATTACATTAAATTATTGATAAAATATTCTTAAATATATTAACATTAAGCAACAATATATGTGACTATATCATATAATGCAAATTAATGTTTTTATTATCTTTTGTATTTACTTAACTATATACTATGTATATGTTTACCTCGGTTTAAATGTATATTATCGGATTAGTCAGAAAATAATAATGCTATACATAAATATAAGGTATATAATAAAATATAAATCATAAATATTACACTTATCATCGCGTACTATTTCGAATGTGTTACTATATAATTTGTCAAATAATGTAACACATTAACTAAATTTATTATATAATGACTATGAGGAAATTATATCAGAATATAATAATTTTACCTATATTTCCAATAAATTATTATGAAAATTATATATTTTTTTTTTTTACTTTCTTTATATCTTTATATATTATCTTTTTATTTTGTGCACTTTTTTAATAAAAATTATTCATTCACATGCGTAATATAAAAATATAAGAATATTAATAAAAGCATAATCACTCACAGTGCAAATTCCATAACACAGAATATGATAAATTGATTGAAATATTTTGATTTAATTTCTTCTAATAAAACATATATTTTTTCATACCACATGATTTTTAATTCATTTAAATTTTTTATTGCAATCCCAAATAGCAAAATTAATCCTACATAAGAAATAAATATATTAAAAAAAAATCACATAATTTACTATAAATATATTATGACATTATTATTAAAATTGTTCCTAGTTATATAATAATTTATTTTTTTATTAAATTTTTTAAAATGTAAGAAGTAACAATTTGGCTTAAATATTTATTTAGAGTATCTTTTAATTATTAAATTATATATAAATTGGGAATTACAATTTAATCATAATATATATTTTTTCATTAAATAAATTAGACACTATATTTTCTATAAAAAAGCACATGTTCAAAAAGTACATAAAATTCTGAACTATGATTTTCATTATAAATATACAGGATAAAAGTTTTTTGCTTACATATTATTATAATTTTTGCTTTTGTGCATTTGATGAAATGATAAATTTCACAAGAATTATATTCACACAAAAACTGAATTTTCAAATAAAATGAATTATACTTCTCGGATGAACAAACAAATACACATACATGTTGAAATTTTTCCTTTGATTAATATTAAATAATTTAAATTAAAATTCTAAATATGTACACAAATATACAAAGTATGTATTTTTTTATTTTCAAAATTTATTCTAAAAAGGCATTCATTGAACAAAAAAACTCAAATACATATATATATCAAATCATTATAATGAATGATACATATATACATATATGGAAAGGAAATAATATCATTCATAGTTATAATAAAACTTTTTTTTATTATTCAGTCATGCTAAATTATATTTTCATTATAACATATTTGTTCAATTATAAATATTTTAGTTGTACAAAGATTAAAAATATATATTATATTATTGAAAATATCATTAAGTTTAAATTCAATGTGAATTTATTTATTTGTTCTGATGGCACATAAAAAATCATTGTGTTGTATAAACAAATTACTCATAGTTTTATTTATACCATATAATTTAATATTATTTTAGGTTCATTTACGTTGATTGTAATAAATTATTTATCCAAATAAATAATAAATGAATATAAAGTTCATATGAACTTACTTACTATTTTAATTTAATCTAACGCAAATAAATGTTGCATGCTAAGGAAAATTAATGATGCTATATAAAAACAATTTATTTATTATTTAAACAATTGATTATAATAAAAGTTCAACATAATTCAATGAAAACATTAGTTATGGATAAATAAATAAAAAACTGAATATTCGCTTACATGGTCAAACTATAAATCCTATATTCATGTGATAATGTATAAAGTAATGATACGTATAATTTTTATATTGATAATACGTTCTATCAAATTTTATTTTACACTAGTTACAAATTTTTCGATATGCTACATATTGTTAGATTTTATATCATATTATTTTAGTGCATAGATATTCTTGCAATTTAGAAATTCATTTTATGCGTTTATATAATTGTTTCCTTCATTAAAATTAATGAAGCAAAACTTTCTTATGCAATTATAGAAATAATTCTAATTAAGATTTAATTCGTTTTTTTATTTGATTTAATAATTTTCTTAAGAGACACATTGTAAATTGCTTTCATGTTCATAAGTAACCTATAATAGGCCTTATCTCGTCTTTTTATATATTTTCAGTTCTAACAATAAGCAACATAATATATTTTTTTTTATTATCCTTGAAGAATTTATCAATGTTTCGCAGAGCACAAGTATTTTTTTTTATGAATACAGTAACATGTATATATACAGAACTAATTTTTATATCATACCTTGAAGTTATGAAAATTACTTATATTATAAATATTTGATCTTCCTTCTGCTATATTGTCTAATAAAATAAGACCTTAGCCGATGAATTTCTATGAAGTGAAGTAATACATAGTATATACTTAAGCCATATATACAATCATTGTGTGAGTGAATATTATAAATAGTTAGCTATGCTAAATTAGCAAATTCTTATAATGTATATAAAATTTAATTTTTCATCGTTTTATAATTAATATATATAACCCGTCCCCTAGAACATTATTTGTTCTGCTAAGTCGCTTAAATGGGGATACTAAAGAGAACAATAAGAGTTATATCCATTTTCATGCCATTTTATAATGAATATTATACAAGAATTACCAAATGTATAATAGCATTGCTATTAAATCGAATGGATATTTTTTTATAATTATATCTTTTGCAATAATATATGTTAATAATTACATGATCATTGTCATATCACTGTGCCATTTAACTAGAATTAATATGATAAGCAACTAAAAGAGTTTTCAAAATTTCTATTATTACTGTGAAAAAAACTGTTTCATTAATTTTATCGAATATATACATTCGTATTAAAAATGGATAATCACACAAAGATATATTTTAATAAAATATTATTCAAATGTGCTGTTCAGTTTATGTGCTATATATGTAATCTCCTTTTTAATTACAGTACTTAAGGGATATATGAAATTTTATTTAAAAAAAATAACATAAAAAAATATATATTTCATGTATAAATTCATATAATTTGTAGAATACATTGTTATTGTTTTATTTATATTAATAATGTTATAACACAGATATTTACTGAATAAAATAACCTTGTTTTAGTTATGCTATATTTATTGCCTTTTGTTCATATGTTTTATTGATATACTCAATGCAGTACAGTTATGTTTTCTTATAATAAATTATAAATAGTCTTTTATTCCTCTATTAATGCTATATAGTTCTCTTAATGAATACTTGATAAAGGCCTATATATATTATATTATTCTACATAAATACAGTATTATACATATAGTTATACCTAACCATGCCTTTAAAGTAACATAATTTATGCTACTTCTCTTATCTAGAATATTTTATAATAATTTTTCGAAATATACCTATATAAAAAAATCTCTTCTATTATATATAAGTATCCATTTATTACATATATAATTTTCATCTCCATATAGCATACTTCATATTTTTTTTAAATAATCATGGTTTCTTTGTATGTATTTAATAAATATGATAATAAAATTGATATGCTGTTCTGTAATGAAAATTTTTTTATGTTACCTAAATAAATATGAATTTTAATGTATTCAACGATTTTAATTACATGATTATTAAATTATTTCCTTTTTCTTTGTTTTCTTATAAGTTATAAATGAATCAAATTTAGTTATATAGCTTTGGGGAAAAAGCTACAAATATCTTTAAAAAATTAAATATATATAAAATAAATATTATGTGCAAATAATGATAAAACTTCTATTCAACAATGGCACACTTAATCTGAAAAGCCTATTTAAGTTTTACTTAATAAATAAAGGATGTAATGTAATTAATAGCATAATTGTAAATTGCACTGTGAATATAAGTTTGTAATTTATATACTAATAGCATTGTTGTCATGCCATTATTTATGCTTTTCTTAAGAAAAGTAATCAATATGCTTTTTAAAATTTTGTAGTTCATCATAGCAATACATATGCATATCCTTACTACACTCAATATTACATAACTTGAATGTATATCCAGAATAGTTTTATAATAAAACACCTAATCATATTGGGTTTATTAAAAAAAAATTTTAAATTATGATGAAGAAAATTAATTTTATTTAATTTTTTATAGCTACTTCCTAGTGGTTTTTCGTGCTCTTCTCGAATTACCCAAATTTCTGAATTGCAAAAATGTTTTATAAATGCCTTCTAATATGATAAATTGTTTTAACTTCATATTCCTAGAATACATTCATATATCCAATGATGAATTCTTAAACTGTAATATGCTTGTGGATTGTTACTGTAAGACGTTTATAATTTAGTA